CCCCAAAACCCCAAAACCCCAAAACCCCATGGGCCAAAGATTAGAATAAAAAGTTGAAATATTTTGAATTAAGAAAATTATAATATGAGTTAACGTTAAAAATCAACTGATAGTAGCTGTCCTATATTCGGAACAATGTCATCCACAAACGTCAACAATCAAGAATACATGCACATATTTGAACAGCTTTTATAATAAGCTCTAGAAGTACAGACTTAGGCACTAAATAAACACCCAAAAATGCCAATTATCTCTCAATTTACTAAAGTAAGTTGCCTATCTCTATAGTAATTAGGACATCGATTGAAAAAATCATCACAACCTATAAATGAATGCTTATTTAATGCTAATTATAGTCATTCAGAGAGCTTTGCACAAGTCTAATAAATTAGAATAAGTATATGATAGAGAACGGTGCTGAAGGAAATTCTATGAATATGAGCTTCTTGAGGCATTCTTATAGACCAAGTAATGCTAGCGATTTCGGAGAATTAAGAAAAACAGAATAAAAACTTGAAGAATATGTAAGTTATCCTTTAAAAGTTAGTTAATTGGCATATTATAGCGAGTTGTCCTAAAAAATCTTGAATAAGAAAACAAGCACAGTAAAGTTAGAGAGAAGCAAATGTAAGATGAGTTAGATTAGCTAAGAAATGAGAATTAATCATTAAATGAATAAATTTAAGAAATCTTGCAAAGACACTAATCTACTAAAAGAAATCTTTCAGCTACTATGAAATAGCAGTAGACACTCGAGATATAGGAATTACTTAAGCTACATGAAGAATCTGAAGATATATTAAAGAAGAAGGTAAATATATCTTACTTTAAATCAGTATCAATATAGATGACTTTAATCTAAATCCTTGAATAGTAGCTAAAGGACTAGAGTATAGATATGTAAAGCTTAGAATCTTAAAATATTGACTTTAAATAAGAATTAAGAGTTAAAGATGACTAGCTCTATATTTTGCAAAATGAACTTCAGAAGCAAATGACATTATACAATGAACTATAACATGAGAAATTCGATATCACTCTTAGTATTTAAAGAGATAAAAATAATAAGGTTAAAGCATAAAGCAGAGATGGTCTCTCATAAACTCATAGAGCATCTTCATAATTAACTTCAGTCATTTCAGAAAGTATAGAAGTGAAACGAAATTAAATAGCTTAATCATTGATTCTAGAGGAAATAATAAAGAATTCACATAAAAATGACAGCTAAGAGAGGCTTTATGCAGAAAGATTAGAAGATCAAAAACTTATGTATGACAAGCTAGAAGAAAAGTTTAGAACTATTATTAGAGAAAGAGAAATTATAGAGCAAGCTATTAGTGGAATTGTAGACTTTGAGTAGATATGTGAAAGTAAGCTAGAGACACTGATGAAGACTGTAACTGATTATTAAAATTCTCAAGTGAATAGAGACTCTCAATAGCAGGTCTAAATTCACTCACTCCACTAATTCCTTTAATCTACCCTAAAAGAGGCTATGCTAATATTTGAAAATGAGGAGTAAGTTAAAAATAAGTTCATTGATCTTTGCAATAATCTTGGCTACCAATCTATGGGGTAAACATTTGACTCACTGATTTCTATTCTGTTTTCTCAAGGTAATTATTTCCTTATTTTCATTTTATCTAGTCAAATATCAATAAAGTGAAGTTAGAAAAGCTTAAGATGACTGCAATTAATTGAAATTAGATTAGCAAAAACAGAACAGTGAGATTTTTGTTGAATTCCAAAATCAAATTTCTGATCTCAAGGTGACGATCAACAAACAAAATAGAGAAATAGATGAGTTAAATGTTAAGATCATAAATCAAGAAAATGATAAATCTTTAGAATAATTAAAGGATCGACTCGTTAATGAAAAGCAATAGCTTTAACATCAATCCTAAAATCTTGAAAATACCTTATCCCAAGCTAACTCAAGAGTAAGAATACTAGAGGATGATTAAAAAACTGTTTATCAATCACTAATCAGCTTAATTAATTAGCAGCATATGAGTGCTCATGCTTTTATTGATAGAAGCAAAGAGCCTTTATTTGGACTAATAAAGAATCAAATGCTTGAAATGCTTGAACAACTAAGACTTCATTGCGATAATCTCAGACAAGATAATGATAATTTCAAGAATCAGACCTAAAAGATGCATGAATAGCTTAAAGTATTGTAAGATTCTAGTAAAGATAATAAGACTATTGGAGATCTTAAAACTGAAATTGAAGGCCTTAAGTATCAATTGAAGAGCTCCTTAGTAAATAATCAGTTTAATCAGAGTGACGATAGAAAGCAGCAAATGTATTTGGAATAGATTCTAAGAAATTTATAAGACTTGAAATATTAGAACGAGTCAACTATGCACGTTTCACCTCATAGATCACACATGATTAATCACTTTTCAGAGAATCAATCCATCAATAACAGTAGTTATCCTACCAGAAGAGAAAACTCCAATAATCATTCAACTTTAAACAACAATCATCTTAATTTGTAGGATGAGTAGGATTTATCAGAACGAGATGAGAGTTATATGTAGACTACAGGAGGTTAAAAAAGTTAAGTAATTGTAAATCATTTGCATTTAGAGAAGGATGCCCAGACACAGATAATAAATCCCAAGAGACAATCCCTAACTCCCAGGTAGTCCAAGCCATAGAATGATTACAATCAGTACTTACACAATAAAAGTGTTGAAGAAGACAAATCGAGTATAAATGACTCTAGAGTTAGTAAAAATACCCATGGTACCAGGAAATCAAATGCACTTCAAGAGATGTCTTTCAACAATATCTTAAATACATAGAAGAAAACTCCCCACAACAAAGAAAATCTGGATAGTTTAATTTAGAAATTCAGACTAGAAAATTAAGCTTTTTCTAGCAGAGTTTAGAATCTAAAATCAAGGATTGATAACGCTTATGATAAGTTTGCTAATCAGTAAAAACCCAAACAGCCTATGGAGTATAAGCAAAAAAAAGAAAGACCGTCCATCAATAGAAATGAAAATAATCATCAGCAAAGATTTTCAGTGAACTCAGCTGAGAGTGAAGAAGACGTTCACCATAGGTCTTAGAACTCTTCTCAATATCCTCAAGTTTAAATTGAAGTAGATGAAACTCCACATGGAGAATACGGCAGAAAAGGGGGAAAAGATAGAGATTCTACAGGTACAATGCAAAATAATAACAGCAATCAGGCAACCAGGAATCCAAACAATGTTTTCGGAGGCGCATAGAGCTCAAGGCGCACATCAGAAAATAATTACAGCGGGATTTATAAAAAGATGGCTAAGGCAAATATATCAAATAACTCTATGAATAAGCGAAAATATATTCAAACTAGCGATGATGAAATGTCGGATGAACTTGAAAGTGAGCACATATTTGACAAAGAATCCACAAAAATAGTTACTAGATAGAAGGCAGAAACTATGGTATAAAAGCATTAGCGAACCTAAAATAAACTTATAAACAAATTTCAAATGTTCACAGCTCAAAAAGATCACAATAGATCCTCCTAAAATTGAATAATATAATTAGTTTGATTTCATTCAGCACTATTATTTATAATTACTTGCTAAATCTTATTGTAAAATGAAATAGGGGTTTTGGGGTTTTGGGGTTTTGGGG